AGATATATATATATATATATATATATATATATAAAGATAGTAAAATAACACATAATAACATAATATAACACACACACACAAAAAGATAATGCAGCAAGTAGCTCAATGCAATAAGTCTCTTGGCCAGCGCCTCAGCAGTCTTCAGGGCGGATTATATGGATTTGTGGAAGTAGATAGAGCTTGAGTAAGTGGATTGGAATTTAGAGTCAGTCAGTCATGAAAATTATTAAAGCGGTCAGTGGCAGTTGCCGTGATGTAGGGAATGTTAAGGTCAGTGTGTAACTTGAGGTTTGAAACATAAAAGGGTGCGTCTACAATTTTCTGAAGGACTTTTGACTGGAATGACTGGATGATTACTATATTTGATTTCTTTCCTGTTCCCCATACTTCGATCCCATATGTCCATAATGGTTTAGTGAGTACTTTGTAAATATTTAATTTATTAGTCACAGATAATTTAGAACGTCTGTCAAGTAGCCTAGAAAGAAGTCCGTATCGCTGATTAAGTTCTTTTCTTTTTTGTTTTATGTGGTATGTCCATGTCAGTCGTTTGTCCAAGTGGAGACCCGAATATCCTACAGGTTTTGAAGGTGGTAGATCGCCATTATTAAAGAACACTGGAGGACAAGAGTCATGTTTATGTTTATTCTTGATAGTAACTATAAATAATACGAAGTTTGAAAGAATGTGATAGTTGGAAACTAGAGAAAAAAAACAACAGAAATAACAGTCACAGGTATATGTATAATATATCGTTGGAAAGCGGAGAATTTTTGAAAAAATAATATGAAATAAATAAAGTTGTATACGGTACCGTAGAATGAAGAAAAAAATATAAATACTAATTATAGAAAACTAACATTACTTTACGCAAATCACATGTTTCCAAGGAAATTAAATGAAATTTTATTACTAAATGTAAACTTTTAATTTTTTTTCTAAGTTTGAAGAAAAAAGTATTTGAAATCCACGGAATCAAGCCAATGCCTTTGTAAAAGACTATTTCATTATAGTTGTGTAAAAGAAGAAGTGAAATATAGAAATATTTCATTGATATGTTTATAACCTTAAATACATTTACTGTAGTTTAATAACTCTAGATATCATATTATATTTACATAATTAGATATATCTATTGGCCGTTTATTACAAAAAAAGATATCAAGTAACCTTTTAGAAAATTAAATAAGTAAATAATTTGATGAATTTTCCCTTTGTGAAATCCCAACATTATCCACTTATAATTTGTGTGACAACTTTTGACCTAACAATAGCAGACAATGAAAATCTCGTAATTTCATTTTAGTAAACTTTACAATGCAAAATAACAGTTTAATAAATAATAGTCCAACAATCCATAACAATTTATAGGTTGAATATTCAGATATACTTTCAAATCTCTTTAGGCATATATGAGCCTTTCGGTTGACAAAATGACTAACTCCAATTTCGACATTCTTTATTATTAATTTAAGTGATGTTTTGTAATTTTAATGGTCTTAATGATTTGTCGTCTGTAAGCTTTAAGCTATAGCTCCGACAAAAGTGTACTTCAAAAATTTTATAATAGTCCAACATGGCCAGAAAATAATTTCTATTCAAAGTAGAGCGGTATGTGAAAGTTGTGTGTTGCGCGCACCAGATTTTGCTTATAAAGCTCAATTCTATAGATGGTTTTTTTTTATTACAATCTGTGGCTCTTGTAACTTGGATGGAGATCTCAATGTGGCTCGTGGGTCAAAATGTTTATAGAGACCCTTGGTATAAAGTATCAAATATTTTTTTTGTTTGGAGACTTACCTGCTAGCGAACACAAGTTAATATTATAAAATATTGTATTATAAATAATTGTGTTTATAATTTTTAATTGTTTAAATAAATTTATAAAATACTTTATAGAGCTTTATTGGTAAGCTATTTGATTCACTAATGCTTCTTGGATATTATTACTAGCAGTGTAACAATAGTGCCCTGTTGGTGAAGCCAGAATGGTGTTGACAGTTGGTGGTGCCAGGTGGAACTCCTACTAATTTGAGGTGAATATTGCAATGCATACTCCTGCCTTTGATATAATTAACCAACTGTTAAATCAGAGCTATTATCCATTGTTAATATTATTTTCGAATAAATAACTAATTTAGAAAATTATATATAATTTGTTTGTCACAAAACATTTGATGGTAATCCATGGTTGAATTTATTTACCGTCTTTCAAATTTGGTGTCTTCTATTCGATCTTATCTAGGTAAGTGAATGCATGTTTATTGTGATCAAATAGGATCTGCCTAACCCGACCTTTTTTTTCCAAGATAACGGCCGAAATTACATCCAACTGCCAGATTTTTTTCTTAATTGTTTAACTAATTAAGGGTAAACATTTTATTGAGAATAATAGATGTAACCCAGAAGGACTCTTAACCTAACTATAATCTAGATGTAACTCTTAACTCCTGAATCGATCCACATCTGATATAGCAGAATAGATAATTACTACCGCAGCTGGACTCGAACTCAAGTCCGGTAACTTTGGAGCGCAGAGTATTGATATCAAAAACTCTTTAAATAAATATATAAATGTATATATATTTTTTTTTTTTGAATAATTAAAAAAATCTTTTATCAAATAATTGATGCTCGAAATAACGTTTAATTTTGAAATGATCCAAATAACTTTCTGCCTAAGAAATGCGACTAAAATAATTTGATATTGTTATAGGTATAATTTATATCATTAATAAGTATAAGTTTAAATAAGTACTTGGTATTTTTTAGGCCTCACATTGTGATTTCAAAAATTGAGAGGATTTAAGGCACTTAAAAAATGAAAAACATTATAGATTCCAAAACCAATCCTATTGTATGCTTGCTTGTTCATTAAGATAAAATACAAATACCAATGAGAATTTAATTTTGATTGAAAAATTAACCATTTAATTTTTTTTTAAATTTATTTATTGAGCAATATGATATTCTATCACATGGACAATAATTATAAGAATGTAGCATCACATTCATTAAATATGATCAAAAAGATAAAATATACATAAGCAAAACACCTAAATAATAATAAAACCATTTAATAAATTTTAAATGATATGAAAAACAAATAATACATACTATTATAACTATATTAACGATCGTATCGATAGTTTTTAGCGGCAGTTTTAACTCCTTTTTCACAAAAAATGGAGCTTTGTGGTGACATCAAAGCAACCTCCCCACCAAACCTTCACTGAGGAAGAGTGATGTCCTCTTTATACTGTTCCAATGACTTTCTGAGCTTCTTTAGAGCTTTTTGCGTACACACGATAATTGAATATTTGTTTAGTTGTAAACATTTTCTCATCACTAAACAAAATCTTTCGATAAATACCATTGGTTTAACGACCAACGAGAACTTTAATAATAATAATAATAATAATAATGCTTTATTTATTCTGGGACGAGTATCTTTAGAATAATACAGAGAAACAAAAATGTGGGCTAAGGAGCCTCAGAGATACATAAACAAGAGTATGAACAAGAGTTTGATTAAATAGTAAAAAAAAAAAAAAAAAATAAACAAAATATTTAGAGAAATTATAAGTTACTTTCTAATTTACATCAGTTAATATTAAAAATAAAAAATTGAAAATAAACATGAAGTAAAAATAATAAAGAACGATCTAATAATTTATATACATATTTACAGTAGTAACTATTTACAATTTTATGATGAGGACTGGATGGATAAGAAATGATTAAACAGTTGGGATTTAAAGGTAGGAAGGGTTTTGGATTGACGGATGTGGGGAGGGATGGAGTTCCATAGGGAAGAGGATCGAATAATAAATGATTTATCGAAAGCAGCGGTTCGCTGGGCCATTATATATAAATCTGAGGACCGGGAACGGGTATTGCGGGAGTGGACAGAGGATTTAAATTGAAGGAGCTCGGCGATGTATGAAGGACGGCGGGAGTGAATTACTTGGAGGAGGAAGGATGCCAGGAAATACTTACGGCGGTTGGAAGGATAAAGCCACTTCAACTCTTCATAGAAACAGGAAACAGGAGCGTCTCTTGGGATCCCGAAGATGAATCGTACAATGCAATTTATCAAACGTTTTAGTTTCGCCTCGAGATCCCCAGAGACGCCCCCTACACCGTGCAGCAATAGTCGAAATGGAGAAATATTAAAGAGGTGACCAGGAGTCTACGGATTTCAAAAGGAAAATGGTGTCGCAGGCTAATTGAGTGTTTTAGGATGGAAAAGGTACGTCGGGAGATCTTGGATATATGGTTTTTCCAGGTAAGGGTTTGATCGAAGATTATTCCAAGGGTTTGATGGTGGGATAAAATTTAATGGGATTATCATGTAATCTTTACATCTATCCACTATATTTTTTTTTAGAGAAGCCTTTGTCCTGTCATTATTCGAAATACATCCATCCTTGTTTGAAATTCATCCACATGATTTGTTGTTTTCGAATGGATTTTCGTCTGATTTGAGCAGCCACTGCTCTAACTGCATTTTCCGTAATCATGGTGCGTGGATTGCATAGGTCGAGATTTGTCACATGCAAATAGGATTTCATTATTTCTATTTATAGTGAGGTACACGAACATACGGCTGATACAAATATTTCAAAATTTTGAAAATCTCTGATTTACATTCTCCAAGTTTGTGTAAGGTAATCACATCTCTTCGGTTTTCTTTGTCACCCCACTCCATGTTAACTGAGCGAAAGAAAAATAATAACTAATTGGGATTATTATCCCTACATTTAAAGAAAATAACATGATAGAGATTATGATTATCTAAATAATACCCAAGGATGTAAACAATGTTCAACTTTTGCAACAGTATTTATGGCACAACTAGATACTATTTAAATGAAACATGTTGACAATTAAATGAAAATTGTTACATTCGTACCCATTCTCACCTAATATAAGAATAAACACGTTCAACTAATGTGGCTTAATGACGTAGTACATTAGGAGAGTGGTAGCGTTCTAAAGTTTTTACATGAGTTAAATTTATTAATACAAACATGTTTGAAACAGAGCAAAAACACATGGTAAATGATGACTGAATTTAAAAAAAAAAAAAAAAAAACGATTCAATCACATAATGTATAATAAACATTTTTCAATATAATCACAACAAAAAAATCTCAAAAATATTCCAGAACCATAGAATGTTAACACGGATAGTTTTATGAAAACAATTTAGTTACTGCGTTATGGAGGCTCAACTTCGTGGGTATGCGTGAATCTTCTAATCGCCGTATTCACTCAATCACTAACACAAACACATTCTTCAACTCCACAATGAGTGAAGAGTTGAAATTCATGATCATTTCCTTCATCGACTACTACATCAGGTATTATTTGATGGCCATTTTAGCTGTTATACTCATGTACATCACTCGCTTTTTCGGATTCGTAGATACTTACAATTTTGAAACACTGATCGGAGAGAGGCGTCTAAGAAGCAGAGGTGTGTCAACTAATGATCTATTCACACCAATGCCATCCAGATGCAACAAAGGAGTAAACACTATAAATATCCGAACAATGTTACGCCATAAGCAAACTTCTACGTCCAGCTTGATAGAATACGAAATAAACAATACGAAAAGTATTCGACCTAGTAGTAATAATTCAAATGAAAGCAACGGTATATCGCTACGCACCACTTCAATGACAGCCTGGTCTGAAAACGAAATAAAATAGAATCTTTGAGGAAAATGACGTTTTTGGAAATCAGTAAAACTAAAGATACCTACATACGCAGTCAATACGAAGGATCTGAATCGTCTTAATAAATTATACCATAGAATACATGTCATGTATAAAATATGGCAAATTATGAAACTGAACAAAGTTTTATAATGAAGATATTCTACCTGGAGTTTATGAGTTCTGGATGAAAAAAAAAAAAAAAAAAATCTGAACCGTTTTACCAACTCATTCCATGAAGTACAAATTATAATGTCATGTATAAGATGTGGTAAATGATGATGAACTAAGTTTTATGATGGACATATTTTACGTGAAGCTTTTGAATTCTAAATAAGAAAAAAAATTGTGTATGATCTAAAAATATATTGTTTTAATTAATTTACATCATCTTTCTATGTACTGATCTGTTTTAAATCTGCTACGGATAATTATTGGATTAACATTAATTTTCATGATAAAATTTTGGAAGTTTATGTTGCATTCAAACATCTATAAAAACAGAACCGGTCTGTCTCCCTGGAAGGCATAGTGCCTGAAGTTGAGCCCCCTTATCAGAACAATATATATATATATATATATATATATAAACACACAGAAATAATATAGACAATACACATATATATGTATATATTAACATAATTATTTAATTGGGAATAAAGACACTTATTAATTATTCAATGAACTACTAAATGTTCATTGCTTCAGTGTTTATTCGGCATTTCGATCTCGTTTTTTTTACAAGTCAACAATGGGATCCTCTTCAAAGCTAGAACAACAAATAGCTCAATCGGTATACAATTATGCTTCCATATGTTTTTAATAACAGTTATTTCAAAATTTAACCTACTTTTAAAATTGAACCTCGATACCTCAGGCCAGGAACACATCGACAGTCTCAGCACCGTCCACTAGCACATATATTAAGCTATTGGACCTCTAAGCGTCTGTCCACCCCGGTCCTGAGCCCGAAGGCAAAATATTACATACTAGTGTATATATATTTTAAGTAGTTGATATTTATTTATGTTTCCAGCAATTTTAAAGTTAGTTCGATGATATATATATATATATATATATATATATATATATATATATATATATATATATATATATATATAATTTATTGTTAATTAATTTTGATACGTTCATTTATAACCAACAGTTGTTATACAAGCTTTTTTTGTTGTTGATATAGATATGTCCTTGATGCTGTTATATTTATCATGAATGCATTTTTCAATTGCTTTTTTTAACATAGATTCATTTTTCATTTTGTTGCTCAGCGGCCCAATATCTTAATTTATGTGCTGGTGGACAGTGCTGAGACTGTCGGTGTGTCCCTGGCCTGAGGTATCTGGGCTATATTTTAAAACTTTGAAGAGGATCCCATTGTTAACTTATAAAAAACCGGTATCGAAACGCCAAATAAAAACAAATATTTAGTAGTTTATTGAATAATTATTAAGTAATAATTGTTTTAAGTATTATCTTTATTTATTTATTTTATTCTATCAATCCTTTTATTTCTTTCTTTCTTTTTTATCCTTTTTTTTATTTTTATTTTCTGTACCAACCATCCAAACAGTATAAAAAATAGTGTTATTTAGTTGCTCGGGCGCTGATGATATGGATGTTTTGCGCCTAGACATCGAAACAAATAAACAATTATTAAGTAACCTTAACCTTATTCCCAATTAAATAATTATTTTAAATTTAATACTCAAAGTCCGTGTTTGTTTGTGTGTGTGTTTTGGAATTCGGTTATAATTTCGAAAAATCCAAAACATACACCCTTGCGCCTCCAAAATGAAGGCAAAGCAAAAAAAAAAAAAAAAAAAAAAAACCGTCAACGTTTCGCTGATTCAGGCATCATCGGGACAGAACAGAACAGATAATCGAACATCAATCCATGACATCCATTCGCTGGGGAGGTAAGGCAACACAGAAAGGAAAAGTTTCCATCAAACAGCTGATCAGAGAAGCAAACGACTGGATATTTTTCACATGGGACGATTCTCATGCAAACGACCAGACTTGATACAACACTTAAAAGGACTCGCCTAATTTGGTCTCTTATTTTGTACAAATACAAAATAAAATACTTTTTTGTATGTTAGTATAATGGAAAGGGAGAAATATACTTTTTTTGGTATTTTGTAATTTTAAAAAATTGTATATTCAAAAAATGTATTCTATAATTCTGTTCTTGAAATGCTAAATATAAAAAATGTATTTTGTTTTTTATTTTAAAATATTTTATATGACACACTACTCAGATTTGATCCAATACTCAATTGCAGTTGGCGTGGTGACTTAACTGAGACTTCTCTGGCAACCGCATTTTTTTCTGAGCCTTGCGTATCAATTATATCTTTAACTTTATTATGTGGCTAAAGCGCTCTCGCTCAAACTCCACTGGCTTTAGCACCAGTGATGCGGTTGAGAAAGTAGCGCAGGGAACGCATGGAGTCCTGCTTTTCCTTCTACAGTTGGAGGAAGAAGCCTGGCTTGGGGTTCCCTGCCTAATTGTATATATTGTATATAGGTATGACTGTGTTTTATGTTTTTTAATTCACTTATCGTTAGGTTTTTTTTTTTTTTTTTACATAGTTTTTGATTATTATTTTACTTTTGTTAATTTTTTATTTTCTGTATATACGGTGTGAATGTGTTCATATATCACTATAATCTATTGTCCACGTAACAGATTATTATATTTCTAAATAAATATATTTAAAAAAAAAAACTTAATTGATCTTATCTCGAACATATCAGTCTTCGAATCGTTTAACAGAGCGACCAATATTCAAAGAAGTATTCAGCGAAATTTCTTCACTACAAGCACTGAAATTTTATTGTATTGCACAACCAAAAATTATGTTTAAAGAATAATTTAACACATTCTTGCTATTTCGGTTTAATATTTACAAAAGAGAGATGATTTCATTCTCGAATCCTTGCTAAGTAACATTAATTATAGGATATATATCAGTTGAATTTTTCCAAATGTCGCAAAACTCTCTTATTTTAATAGATTTAAAAAAAATGTCTCAAAAGCCAAACAAAGACAATAAACTCTTTCATTTTTAATTAATATATCTATATAGTAACATCTGAGAAAAATATCGCAGATATATTTTGAGTTCATTTTAGTAAATTAATTTGGAAGTTATACAATTACGTTGTTTTAGAGCATGTAAACATAAATAAGTTAATAGGTACAATTATGAATTGATAATTTGATGAATGACTTACTTAAATACTAGGCATCTATCTATACTTATCAAATAAACTGTATTATTGTAAAAAAAAAAAAAAAAACTAGTGGCATTGAGCTCAAATGAAAGATGAGGCAATAACTAAACAAAATATCAGCCGTCAAATCAATAATTGTTTACAGGGTTGTATGTATCGTTGGACACCTCTAAAATTAAAACGATTTATTATTATCTTCTAATTAAATATTCCTGTTTTATCTTATTAAGTTGAATTAAAAAAAAAAAAATGTCCACCTAGATTGGTAGTTTCTCTCACTGTGCGAAGGAGGATTTTCTTCAAGACTAATCGACCAAATGTTTCGGTATTAATGTCAAAGGACAACCGTGAATGATTTTCGAAACTCGAAAATACTGTCCGATCTTTCATTTCAAAATTGCTTGCGAAATACCTGCGTCGCTATAGATAGACCAAAGAGTCACTAAAGATTTACATGTAAATTTCCTAAAGTCTAATAGAACTTGGAAAATAATATTTTAATATTAACCAAATCCGCTAAAAAGAAAAAAAACGCTCCAAATTATTTCATAATGGTTTATTCTTTCCAAACAATTATACTTCTCAAGTAACATTACGTTATTATAGTTACAAAGAAAACTTTTAATTTAATTTAAGTTAGACTAAACTTTATTATTTATTATTAATGATATGCTAAAAAAAATTACCATTACTTCTGTAACACATACAAAATTCAAAAATCAAAACAAAGGATATAACCTTTGCAGTAGAACATATAAAAAAAATAATAACTAGGGACCGTATCTTTGCTCCTAATTGTCCGATTTAAACGATTTTTTTTTTTTTTTAGGAAATTCCGTAAATTAAAAAAAAAACCATTAGGCGCTACAGTCTATAGCATCGCGGGTTTTTCGCCCGCCATTTTGGAAGTAAAGTGCGGATAGTAATGTCGATAAAGGAGGATCATGCTAGGATGACCTCTGATTTTATATCCAAATTTCTAAGAAATCGGTTCAGTAGTTTCGGAGAAAATGCGCGGACGGCGGACGGAAAAAAATATTTATTTTTCGAATTCCACGTATCCTGAAACGTGAAACCTCAAATTTTGAAAGGGGGTTAAGTTTTTGAATTTTTCGATCGATCACAATGGTTCATTATTGAAAATAAGAAACGAAAATATTAACTACGGTATTAAATGAGTTATAAAAATCTCCCAGAAAAATTGTCATAACTGCAATACGGCTCCACCAATTCACAAGAATGTATAAGGGATTTAGAGTTTTAGATGCTAGACGGAACGGTTAAGACCCGACCTCCGCCAACAAATCAGAACGAAAAATATAAAATAAAAAAAGATTGAGTGGTTTTTGTTAATTTGTAGATCAAAATGAAATGAAATCTAAAATTTATTGAAGCAAGAAAGAAAAGCAGTAACTCAGTGATTTTTTGTAGTTTATGTGCCCCTAAATTCCTGCTAAATTTCTTGTAGATAGCTAAAGTCGTATTCAAGTTATAACATTTTTTATGATTTTCGAAAAAAAATCATGTGAGAGACACAAATATTAAGCCTGGAAACATAGCCGAACTTGTGTGAAAATGGTTTTCTATGATTGCGCATGACACATTTAGAGCCATAGCAATCTCTTGCACTGATTGGCTGGGATTTAGATCAACAGTGGCCTTAACGTTACTCGTTTCATACAGGGGACCATACTGCGGACGGGGGACGGAGGACGGACAAAAAAATTTTTATTCGTTTTCGAATTCTAGTTACCATATTGAAAATAATAAACCAAAAATATTTTAAAATCGCGATATCTCTACTAATAGTGCTTTGATTTCGATGAAACTTCTTTAATTTTTTAGAAAATTTAAAAAACTTTGAAATATCTTATCACAATATCAACAAAAGGTGTATACTTTTTGAGTTATTCGGAGACTAATTTTACCATCCATCGTGACTTTTTTCCAACTCATTTTCGTTGAAGTATGTCATATAGATAAATTTAAAGGGCGTCAAGAAAATAACTTTAGCGAAGTTTCATTGAAATCGGTACATTCGTTTAGGCGCTACAGTCTATAGTAACGCAGGGTTATCAGCCGCCATTTTGGAAGTAAACGGCGGATAGTAATGTCGATAAATGAGGAT